AGTGTACCTATAACGCTGGCATTTAAATCATGTTTACACTGATATTTCATAGCCTATTTATGATATGGAGAGCAGTGTTGGCCTAGTGGCTTCAGCGTGTGACTCTCATCCCTGAGGTCTTAGGTTCGATCCCCGGCTGTGCACCAAGGGACTTTCTATGTGCGCTTTTAACATTCGCCCGGACGGTGAAGAAAAACATCGTGAGGCTACCGGGTTGCCTTAGGCCCAATAAGTCGGTGTGTGTCAGGCACAGAAGGCTGATCACGTTGCCTATTTGATCATTCTGATCATGAAACAGATTCATAAATCTGTGATCCAGGCCTAAAAAGGTGGTAGCGACACTGATTTATTCTCTATATAACAATCTTTATTTATCACTAAATACAAAATATATCGAACGCGTAAGAATATTTCCTCAGAGACGATTCGTGTAGTACAAAAAGCTGATGCCTGAATAATGTGATACGATAAGTTGTCCGTTTGTGGAATGGCCTTTTGCGATGACGTTTCTTAACACACCCTAACTTCAGTTAATGATAAACTATCTTCAGTGAGATCTTTTATCGGCAGTCGATTCATTTAATTAAACACTGTCCAGACAGTTTTCATTGCTTTATTAATAAGTCAACAGAACTTTCTCTATGAGAAGACGACAAGGAGTTTAGGCAATTTTCTTATTAATTTATCTGTAATCTTTATCAAGAGTATTCAAATTTCTACTTCAGTACTCCCCAAACTCACAAACTGAGATACACTCTCCGTTCACAAAAGGACAGAACATTAAATATTCGCTTTCATTCATACATATTGTTTATTTAACTGGCTGGAAATAATGCTTTCTTATAAAAGGTATTAATTGTCGCCAGCGTAGTTAAATAAAAATATAAGTGCCACAGACCCTTAATACCCGCTCTAGGTTTTGGTTAGACGTCACGAATATTATATAAGATCTGTTGTACAAACCAGTTTTTTGCCTTTATATTCTGTGTCACCATTTGTATTCATTAAGCCGTAGTGTACTTCATACCACATATTATAAATTGCATTACAAGTCACAGTTTAAGCACGTTTAGAATTTGAATTTGGAAAGTCAGTTTATAATAAAGAAACACTTTCGCAGCATTGTGTGAAGCGGTCATAATTTAAGACAATATAATTCTGTATTTTAGTTTAAAGTCTTTGTTCTCTTTTTTAAATTGAAGCGATTTCATTTGTTGTATGTTTGCACTTAAAACTTAATAACTATTAAACTGTTTTTTGTTATACTTTAAAAGTAATAATGTACATGTGTATTGTGTATGTGTCATTTTGCTACAAAAGAAATCGGTAAATTTTCATTTGTGAATATGGGTATATCTCGATATATAAAGTTATATGGAAAATCTGCTAACTGAAGTATTTCTGAAGCAATTTGACTTACGATCCTTCAAAAAAATCGATCAATTCTTAAAAGGCCGCTAACATCGATATCGCTTAACATTATTTATTTATTTATTTTTATTATGGGAGACTTCTGCCCGTTTGCCCACTGCTTATAAAAGAAAGGATATAGATAACACGCGTACCGCAAGTATACGGCTATAGAATAAATAAAAATAACAATTAAAAATCATACCATGTATAAAAATATAATATTTCCAACTAATTTTCATAAATAAGAGATGTAATTTAGCCAATGCATCACTTCTGTCTATTATGTGGTGTAATATCTCACTGGCATATATAGTTCTCGGATCTGACATATTACATGACGGTTTCCCACGATGTACGTTCACCGTACAAGCAAGCGATAATTACGCATATAGAAAGAAAAATCTAATTAATAATACCTACTTGATAATAATACGTATTATCAATTAAACATAATACAACTAAAATACAAATTTTTAAAGTAATGACTTTTAATGTACATGCCCAATATGTATTTAGTAGTGCTAAATACATATACAGTTAAATTTATTGTTTCAGTCTCAATATTTCTGTGTTAATTAGCTGTAATTATCCTTTTCAACGACCGCTATATTAAAAAGAATTTTTAATGATCGTAATTATTCTGATGACAGTACAAAGAAATTTTTCCACAAACAAAGCTCGTTTCTGCCGCTATTTGACGTACTGACAACATAAAATACGAGTGGCAGGGAGAAGGAGACCTGGTCGAAGACAATGGTTTGGTCAAAGCACCAAGTCATTGTTCAGAAGCCGGCATCCCAAATTAAAGTAGCCATGTTGAACCTTCAACAGAAGATGACACTGTAAGAAGTTAAAACTACCGGAAGAACACGGTTGAATTCTGTCTTGTACTTAGCACGTTGTCAATGTTTTAACGGCCTACATACCCGGGACATATCGTGAACTACGGCCCTCATTTTCCAATATAACATAAGGGAGTTCTAAGTAAGCTTAATGTAAAACCTAACGATAGGTAACCATGACATCAAAACACGAATTAGCAAACCGCTAGAGATTTGAATAAGTAACCAATTCAACATACAATAAACAACAACCTTGGCCAACGGTTTTGAATTGGCGCCAAATATTAGATATTGCGTATTTCAAACTATTGTGTAAAAAAGTTGTCTTTTCATTATTAGATCTGACATTCGTCCTAATGCCTGTATTCGAGTACTATAAGGATTACATTAAGTTTATGTATGTATGTACATAATATTTAATATTAGTACAGAACCTCCGACTGTGTGCTCCAAATGCTCCAAATTCTTTCATTTGTCTCTCATCTGCGCTACTATTTTCCAATCTTCACCCGCTTCCTTATTTCATCTTCTCAAGTTTCTGGTGGGCGTCCTCTCTTTTTTCTTCCCACTGGGCCATTAGTAAGGGTATTTTTGGCCCATCTGTCATCACGGGCAATGACCGGCCCATTTCCACTTTAGCTTTTTTGTCTTACGACGTCTGTTAGGTTTGTAAGGCTTCGTATTACACTATTTATTACTTTGTTTTTAATTTTCAACCGACGAATAGAACGATCCATAGCCCTTTGGCTAATCCAATATTCTTTAGTAGCACCTTATTCAATCTGAATTAATCTCACCGCTACGCTACAGGCAGTACGCTAAATTGCTGCCTTGATAAAACAAAACATAAGCTTTGAAGTAAATTAAAGCGTTGAAGTAGTGACACTAACCTACCATATTTATAACTGCGTTGTCTGAATAAAGCTTCATTATTAGGTAGTTTGAACTACTATCTTAATATATATAAATTACGTGTCCGCTATGGACTCCTAAACTACTGAACCGTTTTCAATCAAATTTGCACACCATGTACGGTTTGATCTAAATTAAAAGATAGGATGGCTTACATCTCAATTTATACCCGCAATATTATTTAATTGCAAATTATTTGTTAATTATTTAATAGTCACAATTCTAACAGATGGCGCTGTGTTGAAAGTACCAACGTTTCACATAAGCTACAATTTAATGGCATTACCACCAAAAAAGCATGATGGTCCCCATGACTGGTGTTCTCCTACCGTTTCCCTTGAATAGTTTACTACTATGTAATATAACAAAAACCTTAGCCACAGCAACGCTTGGCCGGTCTGCTAGTTACTTATAAAATAGAGCCTCGGTCGTATTTTTGTTTCACTGCACAGTGAACCTAGAACTCTTGTACACCATAAATGTTAAATAATGAGGCGTACTTTCTGCTATAACAATAATACCGACAAACCGCGATTGAATAATAGAATAATGATATGGAATAAAATAAAATAAAAAATGAAACGATAATTTTAGCATGTCTATTTTGTCTTTAAAAATATGTGAATTAATGCGCTCCCATACAAAGCATTTGTTCACATTTTATGATGTCAGATGCACCCACGTAATGCTATCCAAAAATTATAAATAAGGCAAGAATGTCGTCTCATGTATCCGGGAAATATCGACATGATAATTGATTTCAAATAAGGGTATGATTTTGTTTTAGCTATGACGCAAGCGACGGGTCATCCCGGACTGAAAAGGGTGCCATACTCAACCCAGGCACGAAAGACTCGGCTCTGGACGTAGCTGGTGCTGTCCGCTGGTACGACGACAAAGGTCACCTCTACGAAATGACCTATAAAGCGGGGAAGAGAGGCTACAGAACGATTATAAAGAAGCTTTCGTAGGCCGATACAAAAATAAAAAGACTGGATTCTCCTTATTTGTTTCCTAATATTTATTAAATTATTGTTGTTCGATTTGTAATAAATTTAATTAAGATATTTATATCCTTTTATTTTTATATTAAATTTTTGAATTATTCAAATTTGGAAACTGATTGTCTGATAATATTATTTTGTTTATGAACGAAATATGTTGTCACTTATTTGTTTTTGTGTAAATTATTTATTTGTTGCAGTACATGCAAAAAACAGATACTTAACTTAGTTTTATACACTACTATTTTTAGTTTTAATTTCGGCAGTGTTGGCCGAGTGGCTTCGGCGTGCGATTCTTATCCCTGAGGTCGTAGGTTCGAGCCCCGGCTGTGCACCAATGGACTTTCTTTCTATATGCGCATTTCACATTCGCTTGAACGGTGAAGGAAAACATCGTGAAAAACTGGCTTGCCTTAGACCCAAAAACGGCGACGGCTAGAGTCAGGCACCAAAGCCTACCTGCTTGTCTATTAATAATAAATGATCAGATACACAAATCTGAGGCCTAGACCTAAAAGGTTGTAGCGACATAGGTATGGTATAGATGCGAATTAACAATTAATTAAGCGTTTAAATATCTGTTAAAGAAATACTTTTTAATATCATCAAAATCTTATAAACGCTGAAATAGTGAACAATTCTGATTACGTCAATTGAAGATCTGAAATTGTGTTTCATAACTCTTTTTATCACTTACATACATGTCAGCAAATATTTCACATATTGCCACTTCAGCAAATGTGATAAGTATTTAAGAAGAATATTTTTTGGAATAGGCATCAGTCCTAAAGTGTTTAGAGAAAACAATTGACTATCAAACAAAAGCACAATGTCTCTGGTAAGTTTTAATATAATGTTACGAATAAAGGCTGTATATGTGACATCTATAAATATAACTCGATTTCATGGAACTAAAAAGTTAAATTTTTTAAATAGGGAACTTTGTCGAATAATTTTGAGTATTTTAATGCATATGGAATAGTATTCTTTTACTATTATGTATCTCCTTTATCGATTTCGTTTGTGGACTGTTCCCCCAACCTAAATGCCCGCCTTCCACTGCGAGCGGAACGGACCCATTACGGACTCCGCTATACTCGTAACGATGATTTTTATTTTCATTTCCGTGGGAAACTCGGTCAACTCGCTAACCTCATATGTGACTCTTTCAACTCGCTCTCTCCGCTTGTCTCCGCTTTGGTGGAAGCACATGTATGAAAATCATCGTTACGAGTATAGCGGAGTCCGTAATGGGTCCGTTCCGCTCGCAGTGAGGATCTTCGACCAGTCTGACCACTGAGTGGCTCTAAGGTCCCAGTGGAAGCGAATTGAATGCGATTCAGGGAATCGCGTCATCGTACTGATTTGTAACTGAAGATTTTAGGTGTCGCTAAATATTTATGAAATTTAAAAAAGGAATAAGTAATAAGTTTCTTTAGTACATGCCAGTCTCAGTCATGAAAATTATTAAAATAATATGTTTATTACAGAAATTATTCGTAATTAGTTTCGTCATAGTTGCTGCGGTCGCCAACGCAGAAGATAAAGTGGAAATTTTAACTGAAAGATCCTTCGTTAGAGAAAACGGATATGATTTCGAGTAAGTTAATTAAATGTGTGTAAGAGATAATTGTATACTGCTATTTTCTTTTGATAATTTTATATTGTCTAATATATACAATTCTCGAGTCGCAATGATCGTTCCCATACTCCTCTGAAACGACCGATTCTTATAAAAAAATTTTATGCATATTCAGTAAGTCTATAAGTATTTTTTAGACAAACTATTTGGTTTTAGTTTATCATGATACAGCATACAAATATACATACAACCCTTAATAGTCACCCCTCTACGATCAACCCCGATTTTTATTATAGTAGATAGTTATTTTTATAGAACTAAAAAAATGTTTCCTAGAAATACTATACAAGGCAAAACGACGTTTGCTGGGTCAGCTAGTTTACTTATAAGATTGTTAATTGGAAAATGTATAACAGATATCATTTTAATGTGAAAAAAAACTAATAAAAACTTGAAACAGTATTATTTTGGCAAAAATCGAAGAAAAAAGCCATTGAGGCGGATATATTGGTATATATAAAATACACTTAACATTACAGATTTAAAACAAGTGACGGTGTGTCGCGTAAGGAACAAGCCCAGCTTATAACAGTTGGTGACCACCAAGGCATTGGAATCCAGGGCTCCTACTCCTACCCGGCTCCAGACGGTCTGACATATGAAGTCACCTTCACAGCTGACGATAAAGGCTACAAACCTCAAATACGTGTTCTTCCTACTGGTTCCCAATAAATAATGTAATTTTTTTTAAAGAAATTAATATTATGTGCCAAATATTTTTCTTTCTTATGATTTCCCCTATCCCACTGATCACGGGGCAGACACATTTTGTGGTATGACTCACTTTTTGAAAAATGATCGGCCTTCTTTCACGTGATCGATTTTTGGGTCTAAGACATACTGATTTCCTCATTTCCTCATAATTGCTCTTATAGAACGAAAAATGTATCGGCAATCAGTGGCATCAACGTGTGAAACTCATTCTTGAGGTCATGGGTTCGATCCCCGGCTGTGCACCAATGGCATTTCTTTCTATGTGCGCCTTTAACTTTCGCTCGAATAGTGAAGGAAAACGTCGTGAGGAAACCGGCTTGCCTTAGACCCAAAAACTCGACGGCGTATGTCAGGCACAGGAGGCTGATCACATATTAGCCTATTTGATCAGATACAGAAATCTGAGGCCCAGACCTAAAAAGGTTGTAGTGCACCTGTTTTTTTGACGTGACAACGTCTTATAATTCGATGGAGCCGGCTGCACGCTCGAAAAAACATGACTCATGCGGCGTTACCTCGCTCTGAGGCGTTCCATTAAGGCTTGAAGTGCAAGCGAGAGCGCGGAACGAGCGACAAAGAAGCACAATCGGCCTCCGCGTTCGGCTCAATTCAATTGTGATTTCAATTTACCTCAACTATATTCATACAAAATATCTATCAAACAAATAAAATTAAAATTTTCTTTTGAAAAACCATTCCATCAGTATTTTCTTCTGACGGTGTCACGTTCAACTATCGTCAGTAAGGCTATGTTCACATGTAACGCGCGTTAACGCGCGTCAACGCGCGATCAAATTTGAAGAGCGTTCAGATGATGAGCGCTAACGCGCGTTGCGAGAGTACTCGTCAGTCTAGTTCGGTAGAACGTAGAAAATGGACGTGGAAGAGGCTATTATTTTGTGGTTATATTATAAAGAAAAATATAGAAAAAGAAAACGTACACATTGGGTTTATCCAATTTTGAAAAAAAAAATACAATTTATATTATATTTTTTATACAAATTTGCTATATTCCAACTTGCTGACCTTTTTTCTACTTCATCGATTAGTAAGTCGATGTCAATATCTTCAATTTCACTCATTTTAAAAGCGAGAACAAAATATAATTACGAAAATTAATAAAATTACATGCGATCGCGATGAAAGCGCGCGCTCATCTGAACAGCAAACGGACATTACATTAATATCAAAGCGCGCGTCAACGCGCGATCACCTGCGTCTAGAGACTTTTTCTCTGAGCGCCGCGTTGACGCGCGTTAACGCGCGTTAACGCGCGTACATGTGAACAGTTGTATGAAAAATACCATAATCTCTAGTCGCGCGATTTGAAAACGCGCGTCAAGTTTTTGCCATCTGAACATAGCCTAAACCGACTTTACAGACAGCCAATTTTTTTTTAATAGGTATACGGCACACAACCTTTCTGATCTAAACTTCTCCAAACTGTTGATAGCGGAAAGTATTTAAAATCTGGAAGTTGTTTTTTGTTGTAACAAAGTAAATAATTTGTCCTATCGAGCAGTATTGACCTGGTTTGAACCCTAAGGTCACGGGTTCAAAAACCGGCTAGACCAATAGATTTTCTTTCTCTGTGCCCAATTAACACTTGCTTATGGTGAAGGTAAACATATTGTAACTGGCATGTCTTGACAAATTACCTAATCGTGCATCAAACATTACGAAGTAGATAGATGAAATCTGAAATTGATTTTAATTAATCAAAAAGATTTATTTTAATTACCATATATAATTAATATTTGTACACGTTCATTGATTCATTATCAAAATATCACGATTTTTATGGCATTTAAAGTCTATTCAGATTGACATAAATAATACTCATATTCTCGCTACCTTTACTAGTTTTTATTCTTACGAAATTCGTTGACAGTATATTGAAATAACAGTATATTTTTAGAAATAATATTAAATACCTTTAAAAAAATTAGAAGCCCTTATCGACCGTTATTAAAGTACTGTATATTTTTTTTAGGCACCTTATATAAAAATTATAAACCAACTGTATGTATTAATAAAGTATTACCATGAACGGCGCGGTTAATGAAATACTTATAAATATTGGCGTGTCTATGCTAAGGTATATGTTTATGAGTGTGTGTGTTTGAGAGAGGTCAAGTGTATTTACTTAATAAAAATTATTTTGTATATAATTTTTGTAGAATGCCTTTGTTTTACTAAAAATGTCACATTGAGAACAAATCATTATACTGGGCATAAATTCGTTATTTTTATTGGTAGATATTAACTGAGAAAAGAGTGGTATGTCTTGTTCTCCTTCTAGGAATAGAAAATTTAACTTGAGATACGAGAAAATTTGTTAAGGAGTTTATAAAGCATTACAATAACATAACTTTAAGTTCTCGCGAATTACAATGTATTTTTACTGTTTTTAGTTAAAGTGTTGTACATACTCACACCGATGCATGCACATCCTTTGATGATAATTTAATAAGAATCCCGGTAGCGCTCCGACCTTTGTTTAATGCTTTAGTTTAGATTAGGCCATCAGCGGTCTTTGTCTAACAAGCGGCGTCGATTTTTGCATCTTAGACGGTCTGATTTCCTTACGAAGCCCACATGGAAAAATCAATTGCACAGCCTGGGTTCAAACACAACCTTTGCCCAGCCAGTAGGCTTACGTGCGTGCCCAAAATCATATAACAATGCAACCCTATATTATCTTGTTTAAATATATATGTTACTGTAAAAGCTCGAACTGCAGTAAATCCTAAGATATTCCAGTAAAACCTAAGATCTACCAATTCCTAATGGTAAATGTCCAAAAAGGTTTGCGATTCGCTCTTACCACCATTCCGTTGGTAAATCTTAGGATTTACATTAATGGCACGGTAAATGTTGAAAAACAAAAAAATGCACCTGCAGATCATCAGGATTACTTTGTAATTCTAAATGCCACAATAGCAATCCGTGTTGTAATAAGTGGAATGTTTTTTTTAGGTACCTTATGTAGGTGAGATATTCAGAGATATACGTTATGTGTTTTTTCAAAATAATTTAAGTAAGTTGGTATTAGTTTGTACTTATTACTATCATATGATACCTTTATAACACTATGTACCTGTTCTGTCTTATAGTTCATTAAAGTAAATAATTAAGAATTACTCATTGTTTTAATCCTAAAACCAACATCTACCAGCTGACAGTGGTAAAACCTAGCATATACTGAATTCGAATGGTAAAAGCTCGAAAAAATCGTCGTATTTTCAGAAATACTTACATTTACCAACTCATGTCGGTAAATCCTAAGACTTACACTTAAATCTTAAGATTAACCGTAGTTCGAGCTTTTACAGTAACATATACACTTCATACATAAATCATGTCGGTTGTCAATCATATTTTACACCGCTCTAGGCGATAACGTGGTCATCTTTGGTAATAAATAAATAATCATTTTCTTGTTTTAGCGGTTATATAAGGTAACCCAAATATTTGACTGTAAATGGCTTGTTGCCATGTCAACGCATGTGAGAAAATCTCTCATAAAAGTTCTCGTTTGGCTAGTTGTGCTGTTTACAAATGTATCTATCTATGTTTTACAAAGTTGGAGAGTGTTTAGAGGAGTTGTTCGTTAATACCTACAGCTGAGTTTTATCATCGGATGTCAAGGCTATACAAAATACCATCCATAATATCACCTCGATGGCCGTCGTTTCTTAAGGCAGTTTAGAACCAGCTGCCCACTGAAGTACTTCCGACAAGGTTTTTAAATAAATGTTTAAATGCCTGCTACATTTTCTAATTCTTCTTCTTCTTCGGCTTCTCATTATGAAGGTACTTTTTTACTACAATATTTTAATTTGGCAATATCTCAAGTTTCGTGAGTACAGCCTGTATGGTCACAGTCTGACTACAGTCAATACAATTCAGTTTGTCTATAAATCCTTATAAAATCTAAAATAATACTCAATGTCGTTATAAATTATACCTGTTAAAAGAATTTTGTCTAAAACATTTTAAGCAAACACATAATGACCAAAATAAAATCATGTAGATAAGAATCTCAAGCCTTTTAAACTCACATATTTAAATTATCTTTTTCGGGTTGGGGCGTATTTATTATTATTTATTGTTAGTTAGATACATATGATTATTAAAGCAAATTCTTTAAAATACAAAAATCACAACATTTTTGATTATATTAAGATAAAATGCAATTTGCATATCTGTACGAATAATATAAAGTTGTTGAGTTTTGTATCTCATTAAGGAGTCAGGTACGAATTAAGAAATTAATCTTCAAAATCAAATCAGCATTTGGCAGCTTTATAATGAGCTTGAAGGCTTCAGACTTTAGGCTACATGTAATAGTTAAAACAGCATAGGTACTATACTAGTAATATTATATAACAATTTTTTTTACTGACATCGCGACAATAGTCTCATGTATTAAGTAATTAATGAAAAGGTGTTTTGTTGGCTATGTTATGTACTTATCTACTTACTTACTCCTCGAGTTCAGCGACCCATAGTGAGCTTTGGCCTCCGAAACAAATGAACCTTACTCGATCGGGTGCTACTGTTTTTTAATAAAAAAGGAGGCAAACGGGCAGGAGGCTCTCTTGATGTTAAGTGATACAACCGTCAACCGCCAATGGACACTATCAATCGCACACGAGTGCGTTGGCGGAGTAAGAATAAAAAGAAGCTTGCAAATCAGGCACTTGGAGCTCGTGTATGTACTTCTCCCGCCTTTCCAGCGTTATCTGGGCTTGGTCGGTATACCGACTTCCGTTTTTTTAACACTCCGATCTTCTACATTCTCTCAAGATGACTAGTCCAACGAAGCTGTAGCTTCATTATGTTGAATTCGGCTATAAAGTCTTCGATCTCCTCTTTTTCCTGTCTCTCCAGTTTCCATCATCCCTCTTTTTCGGGCCTAGAATCTACACATCTCCAATGCAAATTTCTTTACGTTTCCGTCTGTCTTCATGGGTGCCACGTTTTGGCATCCCCAACTTGAATATTGTATTATAATTAAAGAATCAAAATATTTAATAAAGTGATAGTTTATTAGAGTATATTGGCTTAGGTTACTACTAGTACTAGTGGAACTAATTATTTTTTCTTTTCGTCTTTTATATTAACGTCACATTAAATCACATTGCTAAGATTTTCTGCTTCTACTATGACAAGCACGCAATCATTCAATTTTATCTTTGGTAATAAACCATGCTGAGTGTTATTTAAAAATGCGACAAAAGTGTTACAAGCTATCATATATCAGTATTTTTAATATAAAATACAAAAACAACACAACAAACACACTTTTACTTACTTATTTACTGTCTATAAACTACTATTCATGGACAGCCATTTTGTTAAAGGATGGGTTGCCGGCCTTTGAGTAAGGAATACGCCCTTTTTGTGTGTGACCCGCTGTAAGAGTTCGAAAAGTGAGTTACAGAATCGCAAGGCAGCCCGCGGCTCGCCCGATGCTAAGCACTCTCCATGGACACTCACATTGCCAGAAGGCTTGCAAGTGCCTTGCCGGCCTTTTAATTATTGGTACGTTCTTTTCTTGAAAGACCCTAAGTACTATCGATCAATCTACTAACAACCCAACGACACATTACTTCACTATCCTTGTATTAGGTCACGGTAGAAGTATAAAACAGCAAACGTTCTTAGAGTATATTTATTATTAACATGAACACAATATTATGATACAATACTTAAAGCTATAAAGGTACTTTACATTTTCATAGCCGTTTTACATTATATATAAGATTTGGTATTGGGTGCAATTCTGTTGTGACACTTGTTTAAATGATCACCGACATACTTAGCTGGAATAACGCCCATAAATTTTTACCACCGGTATAATATCGTCCGTCATATATTACGCAAGTACAAACGCGACAAGTTCTTTTGTTTTCTTTTGTTCGTACGAAACAAAAGACAATCATTATAACGTTTTTAGCAGCTTGTCATACTGGTTTATCGAATTAATGAATGTGGTACGAGTAATTTAATTGAAACTGTTGATTTCTATACTGGGTCTGTACTAGACAGAATTGCTTTGGCGGCGGTGTTTTTTTATTGTCCTGCAGGTTGCTCATCTCCAGTATGCTCCGTGGGTTGGTAGCCGTTTTTGTCAGCTACGAAAGACACAGAAATATGCTGACCATCTGGTGCTATGTATTTGTAGCTTCCCTTAACCAGAAGGCCTTGCTGCTCAGTGTCGTTCTTGTATTCACCTTGCTCTTGTCTCGAAGTGCCATCACTCGTCTCGAAGCTGAAACCAGATTTAGAATGGGTTCAATAAACTTGACTAGTTTGTTGTTGATATTAATCGAGTTTATTTGAATAATATTCATGAGCTTTTGGTGACTAATGCGTGCGTAAATAGATTATAATATTGTGGTAGGTTTTCTAAAATTTTACCATATTTTAAAGATAAGTCAAATGCTTTTATTATCCCTTCAAATTTTTGTTTTGAAAGAGAAATGTAATTAGTTTTTTATTTACTAATTAATAACCTTATAGTAGACATAAGTGAAAATATTCATAATATATCGAAAAAAGTATAGTTTATAAATAATGAAAATAATATTTACGCTTTACATACATTATAACAAATAAAAGTTATTGGAAAACTTGTTATCTTGCTTGAAGAAAAAAGGATATTAATTATAATTATAAGTGTTGTTATGCATGTATCGAAAAAGGCCCCACCGATCTTTACATCTTTCCTAACTCATGGCTTCCTTCACAAATTTGCTGTATACTGTGACATAATATGTAATCCATCTTATTTAGCGCGTTTATATATGACATAACAAACTGAGGTTACAATCAGTTTTATATAACCTTATTTAAAAATATATCTTCATCAGTTAACCCTCTTGATACTTTAGGCATCCATCATCCCATCGGTCCGTTCTTTCAGGTGAACGCGTTTTGGCCAAAACTCACTGATATCATGATTGAGCAATCTCATAAACGCGCTAGGTCTGGATATCCACAGTTGCTCCTCTCACACTTTGAAATCCTTTAGTTTTATAATTTATGTTTTTTTTTATCTTCTCATGTTTGTTATTTGTCTAATGTATCAGTGTGTCGAGCATTAGCAATTTTTTTATTTTTTTTTATTTTTTAAGATACGAAATACTGATCTTACATATTAAATAGAAATTAACAATACAATGGCTACTTACTCGAAATTATATCCATTAACGTCCACTTCGGAGTCTTGCTTCACGATTTCGACAGGCGCTTGCTGGGTCTGACCGTCTTGAGGTAAAGCCAGCGAGCAGGCCAGCGCAGCTAAGGCGAAGATAGTCTAATAAAACCACAATTGTCATTAAATCACTACCAATAATATAGACTTTGAAGATTAGCTTTATTTAATTTTGGGTTGGAAAACGTCCACATTGTTATCTGTAATTTTATTTTATTAATTTAGTTTTAGCAGTTTTTAAGTTTTAAAAGAAGTACCAAGTTCTTTTTCCCTACAAGGGTTGCCTGGAATCGCTTGTTAGCTTGTGACCGCCCGTTGCCTCCTTAATAAATTATGCTATCTGAATGTATATGTGCCAAATAGTGTAATGCATCAATGTGTTAATAAATATAAATATATAATAAATACAACACTTTTCTTAGTATATGATATTTTAAAGTAATGTGCACTTTAGTTATTACTCTACGGGAGAAATATAATATTTATGGCCTAAAAGTAAATTAAAAAAAAAAATTATTTTACTTATAAATATAAAAAAATTTCAATCTATGACCCCTTAAGCGGGTCCTAGATCCATTATACATATAAGATACATATATGATAACTACTTAATATTAGTATAACAATGCTATGTAGGTAAACCAGAGACTAAATCGTGTTTACGATTTTACTAAAGACACGTTACGTGACATAAAATGACGCATGATTTATGATTAATAAAATATTAAAGTTCAAAATGTCAGCAATAAAATTTGAATAAAATTTGTAAATTAATAATTTTATTATCATCTGTGATAGGTATAGATATACTAGAAGAGCAATATGTTCAATACAACTTATTGGTATTGAAGGTTCCAAAAAGAAAAGTTTCACTATGAAAACATAACCGACTTAAAAGTTTAAGTAACGAACCTAGTGTCAAAAGATTATAAAACATTAAGACTGTTAACGAATACCACCTTAGTTTAAGCTATTTATTGGTATTATAGAAAATTAAGTCAACATAATATTGCTTATTAGCCATAATTATTGTATAGATATTTATGTAAAGTGTCACTCTTTTGTGAACTTTATCGTAGGATAAAGAAAAAAAAATCTTAGTATAAGTTAATACTAATTGACACATTGACTAAAGTTGGCGCCTGGTAGATAGTACTGGTGACCCCAGAGCTGGTGCTTTCCTCGCTCAACGAATAAGTATCGCAATACAGCTAGAAAATGCTGCCAGCGTTAAAGGTACACTGCCACCAAACTTTTAAAATTTGTTTAATTTTCTATTTATCAATTTTTAATATAGGTTAATAATATTGTAAATATTATATTTGTGTGTTGTAAATAAATATCAAACTAAAAATTGACACATTAATTGTGTTCACGCTAATGTGATGATGTTTCAATTAGTTTTTTGAATAAAATGAGTAGACAACCTGCTATAACAATAAGTTACGATTTTTTATGAACAATAAATGGTCAATAATAAGCAAAAAAAACTTACGATTTTCATCATTTTGAAGGTATTGATGGTAAGAGGAATCCTGAACGTCTACAAATCGAAATACAATGTCTGCCTATAAATATCCCATTCTGTTGACAATACATCATTGATATTTCGACGACAACGCGAGGTGTTAATCACAATCGTGCACAATATTTGAAGAATCGCGTTACAGGGATATTTAAATTGTGTAAATTGTTTACACTGTCTGGGACGTATGCTTTGTGACCTACATTTTAAGAACGAGTAATATTTTTTAACCAGTGTTGGCCTCGTGGCTTCAGCGTGCGACTCTCATACCTGAGGTCGTAGGTTCGATCCTCGGCTGTGCACCAATGGACTTTTTTCTATGTGCGCATTTAACATTTGCTCGAACGGTGAAGGAAAGCATCGTGAGGAAACCGGCATGTATTAGACCCAAAAAGTCGACGGCGTGTGTCAGGCACTGGAGGCTAATCTGACTTGCCAATTAGATTTAAAAATGATCATGAAGCAGATTCAGAAATCTGAGGCCAAAGAGGTTGTAGCGCCACTGATGTATTTTTAATATTATTTAACTCAATATTTGTTATGATTATATAATTTTTCGTGTATATATTACAGAAAAAACCGCCTGCCCATCTGACTTTGATATTGCCAGAATGCTTGCAAGTGCTTTGCCGACCTTTTAAGAATTGGTACGCTTTTCCTTGATGGACCGTTTTGAATTGTTTCGAAAATACATCTGTGGGCAGCTGGAGATGGGCGCAAAAATAACGGCCTTAAAAACTAAATACTCAGTTGTGGAATATCGGACTTCGAGGTGATAATAAACAACAGAGGTATATTTTAGTGTATAAATTTGTAGAATACACAATCTTATAGTATACTAGCTGACCCGGCAAACGTGGTTTTGACATGTATATTTGACATTTATAATAAAAAATAGGGGTTGATCGTAGAGGGGTGAAAATTAGGGGTTGTATGTATTTTTTAATGCTGTATCATAAAAAAATAAAAATTAATTATCTACAAATTTAAAAAAATTAGGAGTGGACTACTCTTAACATTTAGGGGGATGAAAAATAGATGTTGTCCGATTCTCAGACCTACCCAATATGCACACAAAATTTCATGAGAATCGGTCAAGCCGTTTCGGAGGAGTTTAACTACGAGTACAAACACCGCGACACGAGAATTTTATATATTAGATAATTTATTTTAACATAGACTACACAGTAATCTGTAATAAGAGATACTTAAATCATGTTCTAAATTTAAACTTATTCAGTATCAACAAGTACTTTATGAGTCTCATTGTTAAATTTAAGTACAGTGCTAAATGTTCATCAGCAAACAAACACAAACGGGTGACCTCATGTATAAGGTAAGGATAAATACATTTGTGAAAGACTTACCATCATAAAATAAACTTCTATAATAAAGTAGAAAGTATTACGTTGCGGTTTTGTTTCTATTCATTAAAATTGTAAATTCGGGTCAAAATTATGATTAACCAGTTTTAAAAAAATGGAAATTCTAAAAACCTATACAAACTTTCTATGTATAAAATTAATATGTGTGGTAAATCAAACTCACAATAAAAAAAGCATTTAATAAAGATGTAAGTGCTTTCCAATGACTTGAAGTTAAGATTTTTTTTAATCCATACACAACCTTTCAGACTAAACCAATGCGATAACGTAAAAATAAATAAGATATATAATATCAAATACATATGATACACTATCCCTACTGTGAACTCTGCGAACATATAAAGATGTCGGACACAGCATTCAGTAAGTGCAACGACTTTTACAGGAATCTGTGCAACAGACTGGCTCTGGCCCTTGGTATCGCGAACAACCTAGGCCTTAGCACGTATCCCCTAGGTACAAAAAAACCGAGTTCTTGGAGAACACTTGGGTTGCTTACAACCCCCCCGCAAGTCTTTAAGTACATAGTAGGCCCATGTAAGTCCCGTCTTTAAGACAAATTATGTTAATTGATTAAGATAGTGAGATAATATAGAAAAAAAAATTCTAGGATTATGCGATTTACATAAAACATCGGCCATAGTTTTTAATATATTAGTTCATCAGAAATGTTGCATTTGAACATACTTATTTAAACTTCTTGCATTGAATCACGTGTCCGTAGCATATGTATATACAAATCATTCACGTGAATGAACACGCTTCGACAACCGTAAATAAATCACGGAATGGCCATAGCTCACAATGTATCCTATTTTAATTAATATATTTGCTAGATTCAATGATTTGATCATGTCTTTATAACTCTCTAAATAAACCTCCTTTCACGGTTATATCCATTTCATTTTATTTATCAAATTGAATCAAAAATTGTTGTAAAACTTTTAAGTAGTGCATTAAGTTACACACCAAAACATTTTATTCATAGCAACTCTAGCAGTAAAGTGCTTTAATGTCCTATATTCCGGGAATACTAGCACTTTGGTAGTTTTCCCGGTTAGTAAATGCGCGACCAATCTTTGTTTTTTAATTTATTTTATTATCATTTATTACTAAGGATGTCACGTGGAACATGGTGTAATGGTTGCAGCTCCTTACAAACGTTGTGCAAAAAAAAAACTAGGCGGAGAGTTTATTGCCAGTTCTTCTCTTCAGTTCTTCGCCCTTGATTTGAGAACTGGCAGTAAATGTAAAATTCGAATCATTTAATGTATATTTCTTTTTTGACGTTCATAAACTTGTACATTGTGTTACCTAGGTACATGAATAAATGATTTTTGACTTTGCGCAGAATTGTGTGTCCAAATTCCAACCTAAAAGATCTGTAAATTGTTATCATAAATAGACACGAATATCAAAACAACCACGATCTAACAAGGAAAAACCTCGCACATTTTTATTCGCCTTTTATATTGTTTCGAGCAAATATAACAATATTCTTCTTCAACAATTGAATTCTATCACTCTTCCTATACAGTTTACAGTCCAAAGCAGGATTAGAACTCGTTACCTCTTGATATCAGATGAGTTCAGTCTTTAAATTTATTTAAGAATCTTCTTTTCGAGCATTTCTCTTCCGCCTTGTAATTTGCTACTTAATCGAGAATCATTATCCCTATTATAAAGCTTTTACTGTTGTATTATTATTATTGTTTAAGTTTAGATAAGTTTTAGTTAGTATATTTCTAGTGTTACATGTAATTTTATTTTTTTGTAATTACTCCTGCACTTCTTGTATGTTATTTACGTATTTTAATTGTTCCAGACCAGAGTTGCCTGGAAGAAATCGCTTTTTAACGATAAGAAATAAACTATGTAGCAGTATTTATTAGTAATTAAAATATCTGCTCAAATTTTGTTACACGTTTCTCAAACATATTACGCTCCCAAACAATCTGTTGAAAAATGTTAATTTAATTCTTGACTCAATTATCTTTCCGACTGCTGATTTTTAAATTATACTAGTAATAGCTGATAATATAACAAATATATATTTAATCATGATTGGATTGGAGTCATTATTGTCAGACTGTTTATGAGCATCATAATTATTCAATTAGCATTGATGGTCTAAGAATAAATTGTTGCTTCAAATTTATATTCTATGAGTATAATATTTATAATACTTTAAGAAATAATTAAAAACAAGAAACGCGGCAGTATGTCAAGCAAAATGCTGACGCTGTGTTTCTTGTTCCTAGGCATTGATATTCCAATTCATTGTTAGACGTAAGTCTGAAGTACGCACATAATGAGGCTTTTAAAAGAAAATTTAGGTATTTATTTAAAATAATTCCTAGATTTAAATAGATACCTTACTAATACTCTGTAACGATAGTCGTGTATAATCGCTAGTATAACATAAATAACAGCTACTAAATGTCAAGGTTCCGTTTATTCCGTTAAGTATGAAACCGATACTTACATTGGGATGCTATAATTATCCAACTGTTGATAAACAAATTTTTTGTTTGCTTTTTTGTTTTCATACGGATATTGTGATTCTCTATTTGCTGTATGCCACGACTCGGTAAAAATATATTGTTAGGTCTGGAACTATTAATGAACCTGACATTTATGTTACAGCCATGACTCAACTTTAATTTCTATTAAATAGACATAACATTTATTACTAACGAAATGCACACACAAAATATTAATAATAATTATCACATTTTTTTTAAGGAACAAGGTACATTTTAAGTGTGTAATGTGTGTGTGGTTGTAACTGGCCCTGGCTCAGCATTATGCTGTGGAGCAGACGATTTCCACAGCGCTGGTCATTCTGCTACAGACCACAAGAGTTAGTTTGCGCCTCAGACGCAAAAAGAGAAGTAGAATTATGAATTTTCATAATCTCTACATGGGTGGTCTTTTTACTATCTATTTGGCATAAAACCATGAAAGATGTGAATAATTATTTAATGTTATGATGACATTGACCTGACATTCACACACAACAATAATTTTTAAAATTTCTCATAATCTCTATCACTACATTCACAATCACAATTATTTGGCATAAAACATGTAATAGATAAATAATTTATTTTTTCAGAACATTTCGTGCATTTTAGGGTGATTTATGGGCTTATATTCAACAGTCATGGCGTAGGAGCATTTAGTTTGATTAACAATAACGATTTCGTATCAGGCAGGTAACTTAAAAACAAGTTTTTAGGCATCAGTTAGTCATGCTTGCATCAGCCTCTGATGTATGGAACATGTGTGAGCCCTATCATTGACCCTCAACCATCGAATACGTTCTACATTTCCGAGCGGCTTGATCCCTTGGCGCTGCGTAGAGATATGGGGTCTCTGTATCTTCTACCGCAATACCACGGAGGAGGAGGAGTTGTTAGAACCTGCAGCTGAGTTTCATCATCAGGTGTCGAGGCAGAATACGTAATTCCACCCGTATTACCTCGAGCTCCGTATTTCCACAACTGGGCGTTTTTAAAGGCAGTTTTGGCCACGCACCACCACTATGTGGAACCAGCTGACAACGCTATTTCCGAACCAATTCGACTTAAGGTCTTAAAAGAAAAAAGCGTTTTTCTTAAAAGGCCGGCAACGCACTTGCGAGCCCCCTGGCAATGTTATTGTTTATAGGCGGCGGTAACATCTAACATCAGGTGAGCCTCCTGCCTGTTTACACCGTTATATAAATCCTGGATAGAATTTGTCAGCGGATCTCGTACAGTTAAATATTGTGAATGGACTAACCCGAGTCTCGTAAGAGCAATATGACACATGCGGCCATTGTGATTTCACTCACGTTACCTAACATTCACTAATTCCGTGTAACTATTATTTTTGTTATCGTGTATAATCGTTTTATTACTAAAGATATACAAACTTTACCGTGGCGTTCAGTCAAAATGTATAATAAAATGTAATGAATCGTAAATGTAATTTTTCTACCATTTTTGACATAGACATAACATAACATTTATTACTAACAAAAAAACACACATAAACACACAAAATAACAATAATCAAAGAAGAAATAAAATGAGGGATATCAAAAACAAAACAAAAAAAATCCCTTTTCCCATTCGGTTCGTTTCACGTGTGTAATGCGTGTGTGCTGTGGCTGTAATTGGCCCTGGCTCAGCATTATGTTGAGGAGCAGAATGTTCCACAGCGCTGGTCATTCTGCCAGAGACCACAACAGCTAGTTTGCGCCTCAGTCGCAAAAAGAGAAAGAAAAGGATAAATACTTAGTAGAAAAAATAATAAAAAGTGACAATAACCACTGTACTTTTAAATTACGACTTGATTCAAGCAATCATTGGTTTTAAGCATAATAACAACCACACGATTGCGTCTATTATTTCTGTTAGGATTCAATCACCTCCAAGACGCATATGGTGTATAATGGCGGCCCTGAGTGAAATACTGAAATAAAAAAAGGTTTACCATTTACTTAAGTTGTACGTAACATACGCATATGTACAACTTAAGTAAATGGTATTGTTTTTTTTTTAAATATATAATAGGGGGCAAACCAGCTTGCGGGACGACCAAAAAGGGCAGTCTTCGCAGCCTATAGACACCCATTTTTAGTGGTGCGTTGCCGGCCTTTGAGGGAGGAGTACACTCGCTTTTTAAACATTTGGAGGTCGTATCTCTGAGGGAAGACCCCCACCGGGAGTCGATTCCACAGTTCGCTGGTAACCCGGATGATTAAACACTTCTACCTATTTCTCTTACAAATCTTTTTGTATAACATTTACAGCAAATTCCAGATAGATCCTCTTAACCAATTGTTGAACATTATTTCTTTTAAGTTCGTCTCTGTTACTTTTATTCCCAGTGCTTGTTCTGTGTTATATCTGTCGCATACATTGGACAGTCGCTCAGAACATGTAACACTGTCTCTTCAGCTGTATTGCTACAAGGACAGGCAGTACTTTTAATACCCCTGAACCTGTAAAGATACGTCAAGAATCCATCGTGATTGACATCTGGGTAATCAATCCCGTTGGTTTTATTTGTTTCATGAAAAAAAGGCCGAAACAACATTTGGGATGATTAACTTCATAATATAAAGAACATTTGTATGGGTTCAAATATGGTAAGTAGTGAACCAAATTTATTATAACTAATAAAATATAGATATTTAAGATATATATATATAGATATCTTAAATATCTATATAATTAAGGTAAACTGAACTAGTGAATGAGTGTTAGTGCACGTTAGTCTTAAGTGCTAAGTGGTAAGTGAAAATATAACACAAGAATAGAGTGTCTTCCATTTATTAGAGACTGTAAGTTGTGTTATTCGACACTTTCTTAGGTTAAGTATCCTATTTAGTAAATTAGGTAAGACTTAAATTACTTGTTAGTCTTAAGTAAGGCTAGATCGTAATTTTCCATGATGTATTAGTAAAAACACATGTATTGAACAAAACAAAAAAAAAGTGCGTGCATACTAAGTACACATGTCAGAAGTGAAACTTCTTTGGCAAACTAATTTTTAAGTCTTGTTCATATTTATACAAATCTAAAACTTTAGATTTCCGAGACTTAGAGGGAGGGAAAAGGGTAGATATGTTAGGAATTTAATTGTAATTAAAATATTAAGTGTCGAAAATTAATACAAATTATAACTTTAATTTTTTTAATTTATTACTTCGATAATAAAATCACGTGACATTTTAATTTACAAATCATTTGAGATTTCAATAAATTATTTTGCAAAAAATATAAAATACGAATATTTCATAAATTCCCTTTACGAAATTTTAATTTTCTAAATAGAGTTTCTATAAGGTAATTCGCCCTTCTCACTCTCTCTCAATCGGTCTCAATCACTCTCTCCCTTTTCTTCGACAAAAACGCTGCACATCTTCGTGACGTTTCCGTAAAAATTTAGCCTCATACAAAAAAGATCTTTGAAGTGCAAAAACAATTTTATTGTAATAATATTTCTAAAAACACCATCTTCATATGCATACGTAAAAAGTGCAAGTTACAAGTTGCAAAATCTCCATACTCTTACTCAAGATACTAAACATTTGCAATAGAGGACAAGACTTCCTAATTACACAATATGTTATATTGATTACAATGTCAAATAGGCATTCTTATGGCCATGTACTTAACAAAAAAGCCTTTTTGATGAGCGTTGTAACCGTTTCTTCATATGATGTCAGATTGCAGGCTGCATCTCAGTACATATATAATGAAGTCTAACCGAAGTTATTCATTCGTATTCGAGACGATAACTGAACACCATGCTTAAATACGTAAGTTTTTGTTCTATTCTGTTTATATATAGATGAATAACTGTTTATTTATTCAAGTTTACCACATCATACATACTATATCTACGGTATATGTTATAAACTCTTTTATATAATATGACAAACAGAAATTTTAAAGTAGAATAAAAATTAGCAGCAAAACAGATGATTAGGGACGGGATAGACACTTAACAATGCTTTCTTGTTGAATTGATTTTGATAAACGACTAATTATTTAAAAAACAATACTAGTAAAATTGTTTCAGTTCGAATTTAGATTATTTTCCATTAAGTGTTTTAAAGAACAATAATTAAATTAAATAACAATGGAACAGGCAACAATAAAATCTATGGAAAAAGCTCGGGATCTATAGCTGGTACTAACACGGTTATAAGGGCTTTTAATAAATTAGCAAAGGTAGAAATAAGTTTGTTATAAAGTTAAATTATGATATTTTTGTTGTTAGCTGATAAATTCAGAACTAAAAAACATTACTTCAATATAATATATGCAATAGGTTGTATTTTTCAGTATTTTTTTATAAATTTACCCCTCATCACAGGTAACTATCGCTTGTTTGCTTGCCGCGCTGTGCGCAGCCGCTCCCCAAAACCCACAAGATGTCCAGATCCTGCGGTTTGACAGTGACGTACAACCCGACGGATACAGTTTCGCGTAAGTTTAAAAAGGCATATTAAAGTTTAACCTAAAGGTGCGTACAGACTATATAACATAACATGTTATACAACATTGCTATACAACATGTTTTAGATAATGTAGACACTGAATGTTATAAAACGTGTTATAATAACATGTTATTGATATGTATGCTAGGACGAACCCAGCATCTACGTTTTTTTGTTTTTCTTTTGTTATTTAAAATGGTTATATACCATTGTTATATTGCATTGTTATTCTAATGTGTACAATATTGTTTTATGTTATAATGTTGAATAAGAAGGTTACATAATGTGGACGTGTTATAAAACACAAGTTATATAATATGTTACATAGTCTGTACGCACCCTAATGAAATAAGGTTTTATCACGAGGGTAATAACGATCAAGTATATGACCTACGGTGTTTATAAGAGGGAATGTTGTTATCACTAAAAATATTCTAAGTAGTGACTTGTTTTGTAACATTTGACCCCTCTATGTACTATAAACTCTCTGGTTATTTCACCATGAAAATATGTATCTCAAACTGATAAAGATATTAGTAGGGTCTCGGAGCAAACTCGAAAAACTCTTGCTAATATTATCCATATTTGTATAATTAAATACTATAAAGTCTCGATATCATGGATGGATAGATAAGCCTGCTGGCCATTCCAGGCATTAATCTCGCTTTTCCAAATTTCCAAAGCATTGTCATATAACGATATAGCCCAAATATCTGTGGTTATCCAAACTCAGCGAACCAATAATTGTTTGCGTCCCAATGTTTGTTATTACACTAATAGAATCAAAGAACACTCATTCTTATTTGTAAGAAGTTCCTTTGACATATGTGTTTAACTAAAATAAATACTGCATAGAACAACTCATTAAATTACAAGATCGTTTTAAACTCTACCTTGACCTAACTAAGTAATTATTAGCAAAGTTCATATACTTTTGACTAAATAATAATTGTATTTAAAAATTCGTAAATGCAACAAAAACTGAAATAATATTTTTTAAATAAAAATGGAAATTATCACGAGTGAAAATTGTTTCTATCCAAAGCTTTTTATTACTTTTTTCTAAATAAAACGTTTAGATAATAAACAAAAAAATATTGTATATCATATATACGTAATAGTTAGTCTCATTCGGCAGCTTCAAAACGTGTTACTAGTTAGATAAAAAACCCAGTGTTTACAAAAAATAACTCTAAATAACCATTTTAGCTGCTTTATACGAATGATGATGTTATGTTAAAAGTACATACAACTAAAAGGTCATATTAAATATACAAATCACACGAATAACACAAAAACATAGTTAACAAATCGATTAAATTAATTTTGCGCGTCGAATTCAATTAGATTGTCATGTCCTTCTGATAGAAGAAACAAATTAATAGGATTTGTTTGCGTAATACATGTAATACTAAAAATGTATATACACCAGCAATACCAACTCATAAATGTCTTCTAAACCTCATCTATTAAAAGTTTCAATATCGTATCGTGAAATTAAATATAAAGTTTATATCTTCGCATATATTAACTTAAAAACAATTGTAGGTGATATCAGATTTCCGAACAAAAACTGCCTATGTATGCCAGGAATGCGAGTCTTAAGAATATTGCATTATCTTACATATGACTTAGTTTCAGCGAAATATTTTTTAAAACAAACATACATAAACGAATGTAGCGGACGGTCTTGGATAGTATCGAAGTCCAACGGGGCAAAAATATTTCTGGTCAAAACAGACTCGTATGATCAGAAAAACGGATGCGCATCAAAATGCCTACGAATCCTTTAAAACCGATTTGACATTATGCTGAATTGCGTAATCAATGATGGCCTTATTGAACTTCAACATAGTCACGATTTTAACCCGAAGATACATCAAATTGAAATTCAAAGGACATCCTTATTAGATTATCATTGAAACGTTTTTGTTGTATTTGCCGTAAAAATAAATGACTGTGGAAACATCGATCGTGTTTTGTTTTTGCGCTTAATACAGTCAAGTATTTAATTGGTTAAGTAGTTTATAAACGGATAAATTTCATAGACATTATTATAAAAACCGATGTAAAAATTATTCATAATGATATAAAAGCGTTATGTATCTTAAATAAGATTGTTTTTAGATAAGGTTTTACATCTTAATATATATAAATTACTTGTCACGTTGTTTGTCCGCTATGGACTTCTAAACTACCGAACCGATATCAATCAAATTTGCACACCGTGTGCAGTTTGATCTAACTTAAAAGATAGGATAGCTTACATCTCAATTTATACCCGCAATATTATTTTATTGCAAATATTTGTTTATTATTTGATATAATTCTAACAGATGGCGATGTGTTAAAAGTAACATCGTTTCACATAAGCTATCTACCTTTCACATAAGTTCTCCTACCGTTTCCCTTGAATAGTTTACTACTATGTAATATAACAAACACACCACAGCAACGCTGGGCCGGTCTGCTAGTACATTTATAGGAATGGAATGTCCAAATATTCGTCCATAGTAAACATAGGGGTTGTCTTAATTTCTTCATCCCGCTTTCATATTATGAAGAAACATTTTTAAATCGCATTTATTCCTACAGATACGAAACAAGTGACGGAACATCAAGACAAGAGGAAGGTAAATTAGACAACCCGCAATCTGAAAACGCAGCTCTCACAGTAACAGGCCAGTACTCGTACGTAGGCCCAGATGGAAAACACTACACGGTGACCTTCACCGCCGGCCCCAACGGGTTCCAACCCAAAACTTCTATAGGACAATAGTCATAGAACTCCGATCTCAGTTGCACAGGACACTTGAACTTCTAAATTCTCGTGCCATAGCGTCTTTGTAATTTTATACTCAGTTTTACGCGAATAAACTTTTTATACATAATGCTGTTTTGATATCTATTTAAGTGATATTTCTTATAAAAAGACTAGATAACCCGACTGACGTTGTCGTGTACACACGTCGATAATACAAAAATTAAACATAAAAATGCATCTAATTGTATATCTAACCCATCTCGAATTCACTTAAAATAGACAAAAAATAGGTATTGTTTTGTTCAGGAGGACTTTAATTACAAATATATGCATAGATAATAAATTTAAAAAAGATTATATTAAAATCAAAACAAATCGATTTTTAATCAGTCTCTGGTGATGTATTTAGCTTTACTTCATGGAACGATTTTTTTTCTTATTTCAAGCTAAACAATATTGCTCTGTAATATGTACGGCTAGACAATAAATTATTTTTGCGTTTCGTATTTCTTTACAATTTTTTTTCTATGTTCAAAATAAACAGCTGCAGTCCTCGAATTATAATAAGATATGTATATAACTTTTATAGACCTCCGTCACTATGACAAAAGTATAGGCTTCAAGGACCAATATGTATTAGCGCCGCTAAATTATTGAATTAAACTACGTACCATGAACGAAGCCAAAACTTCACGTGCCTCACTACGTAACTCCCAGGATTGTGTATTTTAATAATCCAAGAAGCTATTAAAATACTTATTTCAGATGGGTTATTTTATAGGAGATGCCCAATTACATGTCACACGGTACAGTCTGAAAAGTCATCACTATGACCTTTTGTTCACTTGACAATTATCCTATACCTAAGAGTTATAAAATAGTATTACGCAATAATCATATGTGTGTAATTTATACTTTAACTTGTAATAAACGAACACAAAATTCAATGCATTTATTCAGTGAACGATTAATAACTAACGCCGAGGGTCATAGTAATGTTTTGATTACTTAATTTATTAAAATTACGACATTAAGGAATCATTTGATTGAAAAATTACGTTTTAAAAGCATAATGTCAAAAATGTAAACACAAATTCACACTGAAACGTCTTTACTTATAATTGATATCCTTACGTTCTTTGTTCTTTACATGTTGTTGTAGTCATTTCATATAAAAAATAAGATATTTCTGTCTTGTTAGTAGTATATGTCAATTGTCATATCTGTTAAGAAACACTCACTCTTAGCGGACCGAAAATAGAACCGCAATTGTGTGTTGCAATTTTTTCGTATAAAATTGGTTACCATGGTAACATAAACATTGGCCCATGTTTTAAACTAAGGCTTACTTTGTCATAGTGTAAGACTGTGGGACAATTTCGAACATTTTAAATATAGCGCTGAAGCACCCTTGGGATTACGCGGCACAAAAACTTCAGGCCAACAGCGAGATTTCTTGAAAAAAAAGAAATTAAAAAAGAAAAAAAAACGCTATTAAAAAAAAAGCTATATAAGTGTAGATCACTATACAAGTAAGATCACATTCAAAATAGCACTTTCATTTAAACAATTGACGATGTGTTTAATTTTATACTCAAGTATTACACAGGAAACTTCACACTGTTAGTTGATTTCGTAATTTTAAATGCCAAGATGTCTATGAAGGCCCCTTGCCACAAAGGCTTTTTATAATCAACCTCTGGCCTCTGCCTTTCAAACAATAATGATTCGTATTGAACACAACATTCATTATGGGACAAATTTTAACCTTTAATGACAGGAATGTCGTAATTTTTAGAATCAATCTAGCGCAGTGGTTTTGCAATGTGGTTTTAGATTCAATATGCGGATAAATATTATACTATTGGCTAGTATATACTACTATGTCATATATTTTTAGCGCTTTTAGTAGGAGGAGGCTCACCTGATGTTAAGTGATACCGCCGCCCATGGACACCCAATGCCAGAGGGCTCGCCAGTGCGTTGCAGGCCTTTTAACGGCGGTGTAAGGTGGAATTCCTGGGTGAAATTTAAATAACAGTTTTTAGTAGTGTTATTCTAGTGATTTCATATGACTCTAATTCCTGAGGTCGAAGGTTCGAAACCTGTGCACTCTTCTATCTGCGCATTTAACACTCGCCCATACGATGAAGAAAAACGTCGACACCTTAGACTACCTGCTGGCATATTAGAAAAAACAAATGATTACGAAATAGATACAGAAATCTGAGGCCCTGACCAAAAAGGTTGTATCAACTATTAAAATAAATCTTATTAAACTCTAAATTTGTTTAAATATAGCCATTCTAAGCAGATACTTTAATCCTTATCTAACTATCTACATTGCGTCAGGCTTCTTCATATTTTTACGCTTGCAAAAAGTATCTTAATGCAAATCATTACGAATTCATATTTATTACCAAGAACAGTTTTTTAATGATTTTATTATCCTTAGCTAGATATTTAGCAATGTTGCATAGCGTCGACTTTGCTTATTTTAATGTTTTTGTAATATCATAATAATATATACATATTTTCAATAAAAAAGCTGGACGTGAGGATAGTTCTTAACTGCCTTCCGAAAAGTCAAAGGTTTTCAAGGTGTAATTGGTATATATGAAACGGAGCAAACGGGCAGAAGGCTGACTTGATGTTTAGTGATACCACCGCCCATAGACACTAACACTGCCAGTCTCCCAATTGCGTTGCCGGCCTTTTAAGAATCTGTACGCTCTTTCTAAGTCGAATTGGTTCGGAAATACTTGTGGAACGCCGAACATCGAGTTGATGCGTGTGTATATTCAAAAATAGCTATTTTTGATAAACACTGCTCTGCCTTAATTGTAATTAAAGATTTATATTCATGTTGGATTTGTGACATTTCTAGTAGCATAAAAAAGTAAAGAATTAATAAGCGATTAAATTTATGATTTCTTAAAGAAAATAAATTTTATTCTGCTATGAATTTAAGACTGAATCTTGATTCAAATCAGTCCTTAGATTTGAATGAAACAGTTATAAGAGTCGAATGTGGAACAAAATTAAATTTAGTTTCCAGAGCAGTCACATCATGTTGGGTAAATAAATTTGATATTGCAATGGAAATTACGAAATATTACCAGCCATTTTTAATTAGATTATCAAAACTTGCACATACCATTAAAACCTCAAAATTCGTGGAATGATCACCATACAATCTAATTACAGAACAAGTAAGTACTCATTAAAAACAAGTTGCAGTAAATTACATTTTTTGCCTATAAATTGTAAATAATAAGTTCCGAACCATCAGTCACAAACACTGATTGATTGCATTATCTATAAGCTTTAAAGAATTAAAATTATGAAGTTGGTAAGTTTTTATACAGTACCTTTTAATTCGAAATAAAATTAATAAAATATTTCCTTGTCCCAGTTGAGACATTATAAGTAGTAAATACTTTATTTTTATATATATATACGTCTATTTCAACTGAAATATATAGATATATAGTAATACTAATGAATATTTTTTTTCAGTACATCCTCATCTCAGCGTTAGCAGCTGTCACATTATGTGCTCCAGTTGATCCGGAGACAGATGTGAACCTAGCTCAGCTTATTGCTAGAAGAAGACTGCCCGCACTGGAACACGAAGAGATCCACGATGAATTCGGCCAGTACGCTTTACGCTACGTTACAGCTGAAGGCACTGTAGTCTCTGAACGGGGAAGACTGGTCCCCACCGCAGATGGAAGGGATTACGTCCTGGTTATCGAAGGAGAAGTTTCCTTTATCGGAGATGATGGCCAGCTCTACGTCACTAGGTTTTCAGCTGGCATCGATGGCGTCAAGATGGAGGGTGATCATCTTCCTAAAGCACCTGAACTAGAACCAATTGCAATAGTAACGAAATAAAACAGTGATACCAAATAAGGATTTTATTTACTGACTTAATAATTTTGACGTTCGCGTTTTTTTTTTCAATGGAATATTTAGCTTATGGTTGGCGTGTGATTTATGCCCTAGAATTTTGCAATGCAATTTTGTCTATGTAGCGATATTTTATTCAATGGCGATTAAATATAGGGAATCGAACTTAGAATCATTTAAAGCGCCTGTCATGTTTTGGCCATTAAAAGTAACAAGTTTGCCTTGCGTATCCTAACTCATCGCCAGGAATTCTAAATTCAAAACGCGAAACAAATACTTAACACACGTAATAATTCAATATATTTCTAATAAAGTGAGTATTTTAGTTTGGTCATGAACAAATAAACAATGGAATTTATCTAAGATGATAATATTGTTTCCATTATATTCTAGTTTAATTAAAGTTATTTAAAATGTTATGATGATTTCTATTATGATAATTAGTTTGGTTGGCCGGCTCTACGTCAGTATTCAAGTGGTATCGGCGATTATCTTCCTAAGGCCCCTGAACCAGAACCAAGATTAATCTACAACAATGAAAAATAAATCGGCAATACTTACGTTTTTATTTATCATTTATTAACCTAAACTTCATAATTAAACTGGCTAGCTAAACTGTTATGGTTAATTCCGTTTCACAGAACGCTTATGTTAAAATAATCTTCAACTAGTGCATACATATTTGTGTCAAATTGCCTTGGGTATATCAAAACCTTAATGTCGATAAAAGGTTCATGGTGTAACGAGTTTTACTGAAGAATTTTAGTTTAGAATTTTAGTAGAGTAGTAGTAGTTCAGAATTTAAACTGGTAGTATTGCCAAAATATGGAACAGTATATCCGTTTCATTAATAAAAATCACATATATAAATTATAATATAAAAATAAAGTGATGATTCTATGAAGCCATGTTAGGATTTCAGACATGGGACATTAATGTAACAGCTCAAAGAATTTCAATTCTTCCATTGTCAGGAATTTAATTCCCGCCTAAAACCGAACTAACATCATTCCTGGCTTTGCAGCAGGCCAAATGAGACAATCTTATTTGTTAATGGTCCCACCATCGTTTAACGCGCTATCCGCTAAAACTCTTTGATCTGT